GATGGTATCCGGTCAACTGATATTGAGTATCTTGTGTAGACAATAATTTATAAATACTTGTACCTTCTTGATGATTGTTGTAGAAGATCTCCAAGTTTCAGCTCCGTACATTAAAACTACCTTGACGTTCGTATTGAACCATCGATCTTATGCGACAGCTAACATAAGGCTTCGATTTCAGAGTTCTCCGCTGAATACTATCAATGATATAACAATAAGTATCCAACTGAATATCAGACATAATTTGCTGCTTAAGATAAACGTGTTTTTAAATAAAATATCAGATGTTAAAACAATTTGATAAGAATTCGATATCAATTCAAACATACCAATAAAATTCAAAAGTATTTAGATGATGTTATCTTCTTTCTTGCCCTCTTTCATAACGAATTTTGATCTATCCAGAAGCAGTGGATTGCTTATTCATCCTATTTCAGAACCTTCAGTCTCGCACCTGTCAGATAAAGGCAAGTATTTGCTTCAGACAATGGAAGATAGTCGCGCAATTTCGTTGGTTGGTCAAAGTTAAACATTAACACCGTTGGATGCCGACTCAATGGGATGGAGCTTAAGCGTTAGCGCACGAGACCGATAGATCCTGGGTTCGAATCCTGCACGAAAGACCGTGGATGCGCGCTGCCAAAGGGTCCTATACCTGGACGAAACGCTTGTCCTGTGCTCCCAGATTTTCCATGGCTGTCTAACATCAATTGATCCATGATCTCAACCAAAAACAAAATAATATGTTCTTAGCTGCGATCAAAGAACCTTAGGTATTCCTTTCACGTCGCTATCAACTGCATGCACAAATTTATATGTACCTACCAAAGAAGTTACATTAGTGGAACAGAAAAGAAAGGCCTATGTTTGATTCCAAATGCATATTTCTAAAAGTCTTAGACCAATCGGATTAAAAGTTTTCAGCAACGCTACTTCAAAACATCTCTTTGACACTGAGTATCAGGTTGATATACTGAAATCTCTAAGGGTTGTTAATCAACAGTCAAACTCTATTCTTCTCTGATTCACCAAATCCATAACTAGTAAAACGCCTCATTAGTTAACTACATCATTCTTGAAACTCTTCTCATCTTATTGATTTTGATTGCATCACTCCTTTCGAAATCATAGATTAATTTTTAATTGGAATAGTTGAGATCATGAGTCAATTAAAGCTAGATAACCATGGAAAACTTTAAAGCATTGGACGGCTGTTTCGTCCTATTATGGGACTCCTCAGCAGTGAGCACTAGGACGAAACGGTCGTCTAGTACTTCCAGGTTTTCAATGGTGGTCTAACATCAATCGGTTCATGATCTCAGTCAAACACCAAGTGAATTTCAACTTCACTCCATTGCACAAGCAAGTGGCTATCAGGACTCAATAGCTATGTGGATAATGAGATGGCGTTTGAAGAAAATGGTATTGGTTCCGAGTCTCAGAGTGAACAACAACAAGTTTGAGATGCAGGTATATCCAACTGATGAGCCTCAAATAGGACGAAACTCACGTCTTGGATTCTACTGCTAACTACTATCCATCTTTGCTTATAAACGGTTAATTTGTATCAAGATATTTAGACCATAAATAAAATCAATCAATTATTAATCTTCCCCATCTTTCATTTTATAATTGGTTTAGAAATAATCGATATTCAGTAGGGTGAACACAAAAAAATCACACATAACTGTCCATATCTACACACACACACACATCAATAGACTGAAAGTGTCTATGTGTTTCCACTTTAAATCGATTAACAATCAAACCAATTGAACATGGAAACTATTTTCATGTGCATGTGTGTGTGTGTGCGCGAGCGCTTTTCATTTCTGCTTTTAATGTTTGTGTAAATATACAAGGACAGTGTTTGAAAAGAAACCGATTTCAAGGTCAATATTTAACAAGAGAAAGTGCTAATTGAAAATTGATATATTCCTTGTTTTCATATGAATTAACGAAGAACACCAACCCAATCATATTTGATGAAGAAGCTCTGGAAGATGTGAAATCTTTCACGTACCTGGAAGGCATCATCAATGAACAAGGAGGATCAGATACAGATGTAATGGCGAAGATTGACAAAGTATGGACCACATTCTTACAAGTGAAGAATATATTTCTGCATGATTTGCCATCTTCCATAAAAATTACTTTTGTGAAATATGTAGATAATCTTATTGTATGTATGCTGATTTCTACTTCTTTACACCCCATAGAAATGAGTTTTTGTCTTGTATTGAATGCTGATTTGTTGTTAATGGTTTCATACTTAATCTATCTAAATGTCAAGCTGTTAACTTTAGTATGAATCATGAATAACACCTAAGCACCTTGTTGGGATCCCATAATGCTTGTGCCATTGGAGACTCTTTGATAAACACAGTGTTGAAGGTCATTTATCTTGGTGTTACCTTTTCCTATGATCTTTCTTGATCTTCTCACGTTTTACTCATGTTTTACGAGAAGTGAGTGTCCGGCACGGGCTTTAACTGGATTTGTGGACACAAAGAGTCCTCCTTGAGGAGTTGTAAAACCCTCATTTCAAACCAATGGTGCACATCAGCTCCAGTATCCTGAGGGAACAAATGGTGTATGAACCAATTGCTGGTCATCGGTTACTATAGGAGTGCATCTCCTGACGTTGCTTGACTGCCTTGTGAATCGGACCTCTAGGTCGAAGGCTCCTAAGGAAACCACCTGCTTCGGTCTGAGCACCCAGCCTGTATCACAGCCCATACATAAATCAAGTGATTTGTGTATTCGGTGACCCTTTGTAACAATATTTATGTATTCAAATAAACAAATAAATAGTTTTGTCCAAGAATGATACTCCGCAACAGGGCATTATCTACCATCGCTCAATGAAGGTTCTAACCCAGGACACTCAGTTTCGCCCGTGAACATTTAGACTTTAGGCTATTGACCTGGCATCCTGTAGTGCATATACCTAACTAGTACCAATTCATGATATTGCACGACCACATTCCATTGCCTGAGGTATCTGTCTATTTCATACTCAACATAATCCTACTCCACAGGTCACAGATTCTTATTAGAACTTCATGAATCGTACCTTGAAGCTAATTATTAGTGAGTACATGATAATTATCAGTATGGAATTTGTTGAGATTGTAGAGTTTTTGATAGTTTAAATGATAGTTTAGCCAAGATCTATAATCTTCATAAAACCCATAATGAATCTCTACAAAGTGATCAACTGATTTCTGAATACTAGCCAAGTATTCAGTGAACAGATGAATGATCTTAAAACTATAATAGAGAGATATTATACAACTATACTTTAAGTAACAACAAACTATGAAGAGGATAGTGATCAACTATAACTTTAACATACTATGGTGGAACATATAGAAATAGGTTTCATTTTGTGAATTCCTTATTTAGTATTATAAACAATGGAATCCAGGACGCGCAACTCGTCTTATTTGGGAATCCACAGATGGAAATACCTGTATCCCAGAATTGTTGATGTTCACTCTGGGATTCGAACCCTGTACAGTTCGTTTCAAACGCCATCTCATTATCCACTTAGTTACTGAGTTGAAATGTATTTCTACCTGTCTTTGTATGTCATAGTTTTATGATCCAGTTCAAATACTAATACATCCTTGAACTGATTTAAATCTGTACCAAATTCAACGTTATTTATAACTGATTAATTGAATTATTTACAATCGATTGATCACTAGGTAGTGATGAATGTCATATGTATCAGGTCCTTCTTAATGCAGATCGAATTCTATCGACCAACTTTAGTTGTAACTGTTATATCCTAGTGAAGATTAAACTGCGGGTAACTTCTGAGAACTATTAGTGGACTAATGTTATACAGTACATTCTTACTGTATAACTACTTAGTAACTAGATTATATATATATCTACATTCCCCTTATTATAAGCTTCATTTTGATTTATAGATTATTATTATACGATTTACTGTTCTTAAATTACACTCAATTCATTGATTACAGTCTCCCATGTTCAAAGCCACTATTGGTTTGATTTTGTATGAATGTTATTTCCTATTTTATAGTGTGATGCGGTCTGTTTGGCTGGTATATAAACCATGTATGTTTCAAATAAATGATTCGCATAATGAGAGCTGTAACAGGCGTTCTGGACTCAACTGGATGGACTAAGCGAACAAAGGACGGTAGGCTGCTTATACCGATCGAACATCATTGGTTTGGCACAATACTAAGATTGTATAAGTCGTATTTTGATTGGCTAATAAATCACGTGTAACTAGCAGTCAGTCAATTAGCTACGATGTAGGACCAGGCACACATATACATCGATCCAAGTTGCCACACCTCATTAGCACAACAAGATGAACACCGAATTCATAGAAGTAGTTAATTCTATAGTGGTAATATATAACAGAAAAATTGTATATAAGGAAGAAAGGATTAGTTCATAGAAAGAAAGATATAAAGCAATTTTAATCTCATAATTTAAGGGAAGACAGAGGGTGTATACACCTACGCCGTTGTGATCGATTCTGAGCCATGTCACCCACAGTCTCCAACCATTGGTTACGACAGTCACGCGGACTCCAACCAAGTAGTCTGCATCTACCACTAACATGGCTAAGACTAGAAGTTAATGGCTTCAAACACTGATCCCTAACTTTCTTCCAACCATCCCCAACACTAATCAATATTGCGTGTCATGCTAATCGGTGTTCAAGCATACATAACATGTGGCACTCAATACCACATGTAACTTACAGCCCGATAAAAATTGTCACAACAGTAATATCTTTGACTATGAAGCTAGTTGAAACATGATCGAATTTGTCAAGCAGCATCAATACTCTTAAAATAACAAGTACATCTTGTGAATGAATGCCAAAAGTCCAAATATTGCTATGAACTACCTTCAATCACTATCAATATATCCCATGAAACACTTTTAATAAAGGTATAAACTATATAACTATGAAAAGTATATTTCACTAATGATCACTTTACATATCATGTATATTGATAATATGGTAGATCATAATGTATTGGTTGTGATATATTAGAAGTTATATCATTCGAATAAACATAAGGATTGATTGTTGATAATGGATATGAATTCATTAATTGAATTGTTCTAGGAGAATATTGTGGAATAATCATTGGTACTGGGATATGTCTTATGATAAATCGTGGTTGTGTTATCATCATTGGTACATTTAAACTATACCATGATGGTATATTCATAGGATTTACAATGTTATTCATAAATGGTAATTGTTGTATTGTATTAAATGAATTGAATGGTATATTATAATGAGTCAATTGATTCAGATTCATAGAAGAAGTATCATATTCTTTAGATGGTAAATATGTTGTAGTACATTGACAATATTCATTTCGTTTTAAACAATGTCGATCTCTAAATGGTAATCTATACTTTAATTCTTTCTTTAATAATCTTATCGTTTGAGGAGATAAATAACGTTTAAGATATGAATATCGATATTTATTGTAATAGTCCTGTTTACAAGAGTTGCCATAGTAACATCCACGTTCATGTTTCAATGGATTTGTATTTAATTGTTTTAATCTTTTTGATGGATTATTCCATTCATTATATTTACAATAACATGGATATAATTGTGGAGATTTCATCATATCACTAAGTATACAGTTATGATGGATTGAGTAATGATCGTGATGATCATGATCATGATGATGATCATGATATGGTTGATTATGATGACATTGTATCGATTCACATTTATAATCATCATTATGATATATTGATGAATAAGTTGGATATGATGAGAAGGTTTCACTAGATGATTCATATTTTGATTGTTCATAATTTGTACAGTCTTTCTTTTGAATAGATCTATTCTGATCATTATGAATAGTTCTTAATTTATTCTTATAATTATGATCAAGATAATCTCTTGTTATCTTTTCTATATGATGAATTTGTTTAGATGAGATCTCATTTGGATGATCTACATTAGAGATTGATATAACGTTAGGTTCTTGATCTGTTTGAATTCCATTGTCTTTTATGATTGGATAGACATTATGATCTAGATTGTTGTCATGGTTACCTTCTAGTGTCTTATCTTTGTTTTCTTTCTCTATGATATAATCTATTTGTTTATGATTATTATCTATTAAATCAATATAATGAAGAATATTATTATTTAATATTTTTAAACCTTTGAAATCATTTTCAATATATTGATTTTTTGTTTCTAACGGAATATTTATATGATCAATTGTTGCCATGGTAATATTTATTGGATAATGAATTGATTCAATGGATTTGATTGGATCTAATATTTCAATTGTATGATGATCTTCATGAATATTTAGATCATTCTTTATTGATGTATCAATTGTTTCAATAGATAAGTCTTTATTGATTAAATCATCAGTTTGTTTTATTGTATTATCTTTATCATGGATTGGATCTAATAGTTCAATGGTATTATGTTCTCTTTGAATAGTTGGATCATTCTTATTTGATTTAGTGATTGTTTCATTAATCAATTCGTTGTTTATTATTTGTTTATGTATATTAGATTGTTTCGTCTTTTTTCGTTTCAATTTGTCTTCATCAATCTCTTTATGAAATTTATTAGATTTGTTTATTGAAGAGATTGTTTTCTTTGAGATTTTATCTTTATGTTGTTTATCATCATGTTTTGGTTTTAATTCCTTCTTGGGTAGTCCTTTTATTGATTTCTCATTCAAAGAAGTACTAGTACTAGTAGTAGTATGTTGTTGTTGAGGAGGAGGAGGAGGAGTCAAGTTATATAAGTTCTCTAAAGGGACTTCATTTGTTTTAACATTATCCATATGCTTTGGTTGTAAATCCTTCTTGGATAGTCTTTTTATTGATTTCCCGTTCAAAGAAGTACTAGTACTACTACTAGTAGTAGTAGTAGTATGTTGTTGCCGTTGTTGTTGAAGCGTTGTCAAGTTATTAAAGTTTTCTATAGAGACTTCATTTGTTTTAACATTATCCATATGTTTTGGTTTTAATTCCTTCTTGGATATTTCCTTTATTGGTTTCTCGTTCAAACAAGTAGTAGTATGTTGTTGTTGTTGAAGAGGACGAGGAGGAGGAGTCAAGTTATATAAGTTCTCCAAAGGGACCTCATTTGTTTTAACATTATCCATGTGTTTATGTTTTAATTCCTTCTTGGATTGTTCTTTGATTGATTTCTCATTCAAAGAAGTACTACTAGTAGTAGTAGTATGTTGTTGCTGGGGCTTCGTCAAGTTATTCAACTTCTCCATAGATACTTTATTTGTTTTAGTATTATCCATTATATTTTTATTAGATAATTGTGGTATTTTTTGTTTAATCTTCTTTGTTAAATGATTCAACATAGTTTGTGGATCACCTAGAACATATTGAATTACATCATGTTTATTCTGATGTGAATTCAATGAATTATGTTGCATTCTTTGTGTTGAAATAGAAATAATCGATGAGATTTCATTGTTATCATCATAATGATCATCTTCATCATCAACATCAACATTATCCCCTTCCATAGATCCTTCTTTATTGAATATACCTTTTGGAAATTGATTAATAGAAGATATTCCATTAGGATCTTCTGATACGAATTCATTTTCATTTAGATGATATTTCTTTCTGTGGATTAAATGAAATACTTTGAGAAATTTATTAAAGCTCTTCTTTTTCATTATTCATTTCTTAGTTTAGATCTAATCCATAGAACATTCATTGGTTTGATTTTGTTCCAGGAACTTAGTCTAAAATGGAATGGAATAGAGTAATCTTCTATACAAAAAATTAACAATATCAGTTAATGTATAATGAATATAGTTTAGAGAATATTTTAAAATGAACCGATCAAGTCACATGATATCCGATCTGTATGGATCAAATATATTGATTATTGAATTTCATAATAACATGATCATTGAAGATCATTTGTAATGATTCAACAGTTGTAGACCAGCTTATATGAATTTTGATAGTTGAATTTATGAGTCAATTGAATATACACCACCATAGGAAACTTAGAAATATCAGATGATTGTTTCATCCTAGTATGGAACACTTCAGTGTATTCGCAGGATTCAAATCTAGAACATTCGATCTCGAACGCGAATGCTTAATCTCCAGACCATTGAGTCAGCACATTGTGCAACTTCTCAGCTCATTTTTGTGAATTAGTTGAGGTTAGATATTAATACCGTTCTCTCGCGAGACCGAAGGTCCTGGGTTCGAGTCTCGTGGTGTGGGATTTCGGACGCACTTTGATGATAATAGGTCTTAGAGTTTGGCGCAAAATTCACTCATCCGTTTGGTTAAATAGAATTTTGGCATTACAGCTGATGTCAGATCGTGGTGAAAACATTAAATCTAATTCCTAAGCTTAGCTATAAACTATAGACCATTAGGTGAGCACTCCCATGATCTAAAAAATATTCAAATATCTCTGTAAACCCCTAGCAAATACGTTAAAAAAATAGTGTTCATATATATATGAACACTGTAGAGCACAGATCACCGACCAGCATTATCCAATCCACTCTGTCCTGAGCCTTCCTTCCTAGTTCGATCCAATTGTTCTTCGTTCTTCTCATGTCTGTCTCCATTTCTGAGCGTAATGTATGCTTTGGTCTTCCTACTCTCATTTGGCTATGGGGATTCCAAGCGAGGGCTTGCCTTGTGATGCAGTTGGGTGCTTTCCTCAATGTGTGTCCCATCCACTTCCAGCACTTCTTCCTGATTTCTTACTCCGTTACAATTTGATTTGTTCTCTCCCATAGTAGGTTTTTGCTAGTAGTGTTTGGTCAACGGATCTGAAGTATTTTGCGTAGACAGCTGTTAATGAAAACTTGTATCTTCTGGATGATGGCTTTCGTAGTTCTCCAAGTTTGCGCCCCATACAGTAGAACTGTCTTGATATTTATATTGAAAATTATGACTTTGGTGTTGTTTGACAGACAGTTGTTTTGAGTTCCAAACGTTCTTCAATTGTAGATATGCTTCTCTTGCTTTGCCAGCATCGCCCAAAGGTCATCTATAAATTAAAGTCTTATCAAAAACGATCATGCATGTTCGCCTTTATTATTCTGAAGATCAGTAAATAGTAATAGAGTGTTATCGTCAAGTGCTGGTGGATGGCCTATGCTCCTCCATGAGAAGTAACGGGTGTTAGTATGTTATGGTCTAAATATTTTCTTTGAAAATAACACTTCGATAATTTCAAAAAAACGTTTTATGCTACTTACAATAATTTAAATATGTACATTTATTTCTGTAAAACTTTAATCAACATTTATACACAGTAAACATTTTAAGAAATTAAACCACCATGGAAAACCTGAAAGCACTGGACATCCGCTTTGTCCTACTGTGGAACTCCTCAGCAGTGCGCATCCACAATCCCGCCCCGCGGAACTTGAACTCAAAACCTTTGGACTCGCAACAGAACTCTACACCATCGAGCCGACATCCAACGGTGTTAATATCTAACGTCAACCAACCCACGAAATTGAGCTATGGAGGAATATGATGTATTCGAAATAAACCTAAACAGGGAAATAAACAATTGTTGAGATGACTTAACCATATTGAAGATAAGATAAACACTGAGTTCCAGGTATAGATAGCTAATAAGTTTCAAGTTGAAGGAAACTCATGTCCTTGATTAAACTGCAAACCATAACGCCGACATACACATATCTAGAATATTTATAATTTAATCTGTCCTTTATCAGAATAAAGGAGGTGTTAATTCTATCGAAGCGTCCAAGTAACCCCAATTGAGTTACGCGCAAAATCGAGGTTCCAAAACAACGATTTGTCTACAAAAGCGGTTCTTTATTAAATAATACACAAAATTTAGTTACAAACCTCAACTTGTGAGGTGTCTAAGCGTCAAAACGCGTCCTTCAACAATGAAAATAACAAAGGCTTCCTGTAAGAGTAACATAAGGAATAATTATGACATACGATAGTATAAAGACAGCCGATAGCTGTGTCTAAATTTGATAACAGTTTATGAGCAACCGAAACTCGAACCAAGAGCAAACAATATGGAAACTGTTGCGCAAAACTGTGGATAACCGTTACAGTAATTAAATTACAGTGATTATAATGATAAGTAAAGTAAACGTTAAAGATATATGTGAACATTCCAGAATGTTACAGTACAACTTGAGTTACAACATAAGTGTGAAAATTGTTGTTCATACAGCTGCCTACTGAATGAAATTAGTAGTATGAAACAACATACAAAAGAGAAGGAAAGGAACATGTAGGAACAATGTAAGACAAACTTAACAGGAGGCTTGAACAAATAGGTTCATTAGTTGACTATACACATTATGACGGATAAATGGAGATCAGAAGTATTCATTCACGAGTTAATAATAATTTAAATCCATAGATCCTTCTTCTTTTGAATGAAGTATGAAACTTTACAAGAAGTGATGTAACATCCATTGGTTCACAAATTTTTCGCTTACTCACCTTCAAATGGTGGTTGGAGGTAGTCGACTGGAAACCCTAAAAAATCGATGTTCTCTCAAGATTACAGGTATACATTGTTGACGTGTGCCAAGTAGCACAAAACCTGTGTCCTGGGTTGGCACCTTGACTTTGAAATCTCCCAAACGCTTCTGATTGGCTCGTCCATAAATTAGAGTCTCGCCCTTCTTATTAGTTAGAAATGAGTTTAAAAATGCTTTATGATCGCTATGGAACTTTCTCAATTCCGATACTTTTGCTACACAAGCCATATTATACTGGGATTAGACTAGATTTGACCGATTAGATTTACACTTGAATTCTCTCAAGTCATGGAGTTATATCCTTATTAGAATAATGAATGGTAACTGTTGGGATCCATTTATGGACTGATACTATGCATATATTCTTATTGTATAATTGTTAAGTAGCTACAATATGCATATTCTTGTTCCTCTTATTATAAGCTTTATTTTCATTTATAGACTATTACCAGAAGGGGTTTTGTGGAGATTGCAGTAATTTGAACATTTGGGATCATGAATCGATTGAAGCCAGACCATTATAGAAAATCTGGAAGCATTGGACGGCCGTTTTGTCCTATTGTGGAACTCCTCAATTTCGAGGATAAGTCGAAGTTAGACATTAACATCGTTGGGTGCCGATTAGCTCAGTGGTCTAGTTGGTCAAGCGCCTGTCGCCAGACTGATAGGTCCTAGGTTCGAATCTCGGGGGGTGCGGGTCGTGGGTGCGCACTGCTGGGGAGTTCCATACTAGGACGAAACGGCCGTTCAGTGCTTCCAGGTTTATCGTGGTGGTCTAGCTTCAATTGACTCATGATCCCAACTGTTGGAACTATGGATTGTTATGATACGGTTCACCATTCTTGCGTAATGCCGAGTCTATTAATGAGAGTCTCCATCATTTACAGCCACTTTTGGCTAAATCTTATGTAAATGTGTATTTTCTGTTTTATGGTTGTTATAGCTTGTAACCGCCTATTAGGGTGCAATGAATTATCGATCGGACCAAGAACACGTCCGAGCAGCCTAGAGTTCTGATTGGTCCTGCTTCCCGCCTAGCCCAACCAGTTGAGTCCAGAACACCAATCTCAGCCTCTGCAATATGAATCATTTATCTTCAAACATACGGGGTTTATATACCAATCAAACGGACCACAACGTACCATAAAATATGAAACAACATTTGTACAAGATCAAACCCAAAGTGGCTGTGAATGTGAGAGACTGTAATTAATAGATTGGGTATAACTGAAGAATGGTAAATCGTATAACAATAGTTTATAGGTTAAAATGAAGCTTATGATGAGAGAGACATGAATATGAATAGTTTAGTTACATAACAATTAAACGATAAAAATAAACGTTTAGTATTGGTCCATAATTGGATCCCAAAAATTATCATTCATTATTCTTATCGGGACATAACAATGATACGATGTGGTCTATTTGGCTGGTGTATATATGCTTAGTATGTTTAAAATGCAGGATTGATATCACTGAGGCTGAAATTGGTGTTCTAGACTTGACAGGCAAGCAGGGCTAGTCATATGGGTTTATGTATCATTGATCCGATCGATAAGTCACTGTTCTCTAATTGGTAGCATCATTACATTATACATTGATAAGGGGCACAAAACCAAAAGTTATAACACATATAAATAATTATAAAGAAGATCGATATTCGTAGACCTATTCACAGTATACTTAAGTATTGATGAAGTAACCATTCAATGAACTATGAACGCATTTCAGTGAATTACATTGAGTATAATGCAAATAAGTGATTGTTATATAAAACATCTGTAAATGAATATAAACATGACAGTCAACTGAACACAGATAGTTCTGAATAGTATCATGATTATTAAGTTGGTTTTTTTCAAGTAAATTCCATACTTTAACCAGATTTATAGAATTTTAGTGATGTCTGGAGTTCTTGGAATCTTACTGGTGTATGGAAGTGTTGTGGATGCGGAGGAATAGACCAATAATTATCATGTCCGATGGTGTCCTTGGACTTTAAATGGACATTTCCTATTGATCAATATCTGTTCACTTGCTGAATATTGTACAAAATGTTGTTTTCTATTTTATGGTACGATGTGGTATGCTTGATCGGTATATAAGCAGAGTGTGTCTGAAATATAACGATTCATAACTCAGAGGCTGAGATTTGTGTTCTGGACTCAATTGGCTGGGATAGACAGGGAAGCGGGACCGATCGGAACTCTAGGTCGTCCATTACGTTCGTACGTGTTTACGTATCATTGAGTCGATC